GTGGGATCCGAACCCTCGGCGGGAGCGCTGCTGCGCTCCCAAGCGGTGCACTGTAGCAGTGCGCCACCGGGCCGGCCCGAAATTAATCATTTTTTTTTTTTCCACATTTTTCTAATATACTTGGTGTACAGCCCAAATTTTAGTCAGCATTTTCCAGAATATTTAAGACATACACTTAATTTCTAGATATATTATATTGATCATTATCATAAAATTTGATACCTGGCAAATGATCAGGTGACTTAAATTTGTAGGTGATATTTCTGCACTGAAGAATTTCAACTATTAGTTGTTCGCCATCTGTCTTCATTTCCTTCTTCAATGCAATCTTGATTTCTCCCATTACCTGAGTTTTAACTGAAAGAATTTGATTTAAAAAGTTAAGGAATACATAATGTCATTTAGTAAATGGTTAGTTCAATCATTAATCTATACATTCATTTAGTGTTTATCAAGTGTTAAACACCTTATTGCATCCTGTGCATACACAGATGAATAAAATACAGTCCAAGTGAACAGTCTCATGGAGAGACTGATAAATTACATAGATACTTACAACGAAGTATGGTAAATATAACAATAGGATAGTAACAAGTGCAGTATGGAAGAAATACAAGTGGGTAAGTGTTACTGAAATGTAGATTTTTCAGGCCAAAAGAAGTAACAGATGTGACTGTGGAGAGAAAGGCATACATAAAAATGATAGAATTCTCAAATAATTTATAGGAAATAAAAACAAGTCATGTGAAATATTAGAATTGCTGACAATTGCTGATTACCAGGCTTGTTCAAGAACATTTGCTAACACAACTATATGTCACTGTATATTACTTCTACTTCCCTTCTGTTTCCTTTGTAAAAGAAATAGCCAATAAGAATATGTAGTAATAAAATTACAGAGAGAGAATTAAGATGGTGGAATAGATGGTCCCCAGCATCACTCTCCCACAATCGACCAGTTTATAAGTATTAAAAAAAGCAATGACTGCCAAGCTGGGGCCACTAGAGCTCAGGGGAAGAGGAGGAGAGACCTTTGGAATTCATGAAGGTGGGACAAGCCATGATAAGAGAAAGAAAGGACGCTCCCACTGTTTTGAGTCCTGGCCATTTCAAGCCTGGCCCTGGTGAACACACAAAGCAAGAGCTGGCAAAAACCATGGATATGCACTTTGTATGAAGTTGTTTGGAGCCTGCAGGAGAGAGAGGGTCTTGGTGGTCCCCAGGCCAGCAAGATCACTGACAGAGTTCCCATGGACCCACATATGAGCGAGGGGCCACAGACAACTGAAAAAAGCAGCCACTCAGTGGCTGGTGAGTCATTGCAAGGGACCAGCACATGGCCCATCCCATGGGAAGTTAATGGAGTGTTGGGTATGGGGGAGATGGGCCCACCGGCGGAACATTGGGGCACAGCATGGACAGCTGATCTACCCTCCAATCAGCACAGGACCACTCAGTGGAAACTGGTTAGGAGTATAGAACTACAGGGGTGTAGTTTACTGAAAAGACTCAGGACCAGACCAGAGTTTCCACACAACTCAGGGGTATCAAACCTCACAAGACCTGGAAGTGCTGGAAAGTTCAACAATTAACATCTGAGCTGCACAAAAAGCCTTCCCCAGGGAATCAGCACCAAAAAAGCAATTTAGCTCAACTGCAAGATTCAAGTGCTGGAACACAGGAAGTCCCCCCATTTTAGAAGCAAGCAAAGGACAACAAATTAGTTCCAGTGCAGAGTTTGAGTGGTGGGGGTAGCTGATAATCCAACACAGAACTGAAAGAAAAAACAAAAATCCACAGATCAGAGACAAAGTTCTGATATTTACCAGTAAAGATCTAACACCACCAAAGAACACCTATAAAACCTAGAAGATCTGGAAGCCCCCTGGGCTCCTGAGCCAGGGTGGGGCCTCAGCCATGGCCCCCAACATCTGCATCCAGCCAAGTGAAAACCAAGTCACAGCAGAAGCCCCCCCTGGGCTCTCAAGCCAGGGTAGGAGGGCAGAGGGCTTCAGTCACACGGCCCCAATATCCACATCCAGCCCAGTGATGACTGAGCCTCCACAGAAGCCCCCCGGGCTCCAAAGCTGGGGGGGAAGGTAGGAACCTTAGCCATACCCCCTGACATCGCATCCAGCCCAGCAATGCCAGCAATGACTGAGCCACTGGCAGAAACTCCCCAGGCTCCTGAGCTGGAGAGAGGGAAGCCCACAGGCCTCAGCCATGGCCCCCTGCCCTCCACAAAAGGGCCAGGGTAGGAGCCGGCGATGGGCCAGTTCCACCCCCAAGCTTCACTCCATCCCTATACCCTCTCCCCCGCCCCACTTTGGAACAACAATTTTGAATGTAAAAAAAAATAATAATAAATAAATAAATTTAAAAAATAAAATTATATAAGGCAACATATGGTGAGTGACTTAAACTGGACTCAATGTATTTTCTTCCACTGTTTATCTTGGATCTTTATGATATTGAAGAAGCTATGCATGCTAGGTCAAATCCTTTTATTAATTTACTCATTTCTTTATCAATTCATATATTTATCCACTTACTCATTCATCAAAAAATATTTTGTTTCCCCTTCTCCTCTGTGCTGAGCACTCTGCTGCTCACTAATATAATAGTGAGTGCAAACATGCATGCTTAGTGGTTTCATGGTTTTTCCATCTATTGGGAAGAAATACATTAATTAAGTATTCCTATCAGTGAATATATAATTAGAAAGTGAGAAATGGTTCTGAAGTACAAGAGCACAGTTTCAAGAGAGGCATTAACTATGGAGCACTTCCCTGAGGAAGTGCTGTTTCAGTTCAAACTAGAAGGATGAGAAAGAATTAACCAGCAGAGATGGATGGGGAAGGACATTCTACAGAAGAGGAACAGTATGTTCAAAAAAGGGAACATCATTTCGGAAATAAATGGCCATGTGATTGTAGTATATTGTTAATTGAGACCATGTTAAGAATTTGGTTTTACTTCTAGAATGCTAGGAGTCCATTGAAGGTCTCTAAACATGGCTGTAAATAATTTGTTCTCAAACGTTTTGTTCTCAGGATTTCTTTATACTCTTAAAAAAATGATAGTTTTTAAAAAACTTTGTTTATGTGGATTATAGCTATCAATATTAGAAATTTAAAATTTCTAACTTTAATTAAAATTAGATATTAAAGTATTAATTTACTAATTCAGTTAAGATGAAAATAATATACCTATAAATAAATGTTTTAATGAAAATAACCATATTTTTAAAAACGAAAAAGTAATGAGAGCTGTTTTTTATTTTTTCAAATTTCATTAATACTTGGCTTAATGGAGGACAGATAGAGTCTCATATATATATTATTTTTTAGAAATAATTTACTAATGGTATTCAAAAGTGCCATTACACTGGAGGAGGAGGGGCAAAAACCAAATTTTGTAGGTTAAAGAGAAATATTTTTTTAATTAATTAATTTTAAAGAAAATTAAATTTTTTTTTTTTTTTTTGTCTTTTGTCTTTTTCCGTGTCCGGCAACGGATCGCAACCCTCAGTGTTGCCCCCGTACCGGACCGGGGACCGGCAACGGGATCGCAAACCTTGGTGTTGCTCCTGCGCCTCGCTCAGCCAGTGAGCGGGAACCGGTCCGTATGTGGGATCCGAACCCTCGGGTGGGAGCGCCGCCGCGCTTCCCAAGCGGCGCACTATCCAGTGCGCCACCGGGCCGGCCCAAGAAAATTAAATTTTATTAACATTATTTTTTACATTCTAGGATGTTGTTATGGACCGGGGGGGAGAGGGGGAGAGCAGAAAGGGGAGGGAAATGGGATGGAAGAAGGAGGGAGGAGGAGGGGCAGGACTGAGGCCTGTGGCACTGCCTCATTCCCACAGGGGAGACCAGGGACTTCTAGCTGTGGCTTGGTCATTGCCAGGCTGGGAGCAGATATAGGGGGTGTGACAAAAGACCTCACCCCCCACCATCCCAGTTCAGGAACCTGGGGCCCCTCTTGCTGCAGCTTGGGATCCGAACCCTCGGACGGGAGCGCCGCCGCGCTTCCCAAGCGGCGCACTATCCAGTGCGCCACCGGGCCGGCCCAAGAAAATTAAATTTTATTAACATTATTTTTTACATTCTAGGATGTTGTTATGGACCGGGGGGGAGAGGGGGAGAGCAGAAAGGGGAGGGAAATGGGATGGAAGAAGGAGAGAGGAGGGGTGGGATTGAGGCCTGACACCCCCATCATTCCCATATGGGAGACTGGGGGCTTCCAGCAGTGGCTTGGTCATTGCTGGTACAGATGTCAGAGGGGTGTGGAAAAGCCTTTGGCCCCCACCACCCCAGCTCAGGAACCTGGGGCCCTTCTTGCTGCAGCTTGGTGGTCGTCACTGGGCTGGTTGCACATGTCGGGGTGGTGTGGCTGAGTCACTCAGTCCCCCACTGCCCTGGCTTGGGAGAGCCCAGGGCACTTCCTGTGGTGGCTCAGTTGTCCCTGCTGGGATGGCTGCGAGTGCCAGGGGTGCGTGACCAAGGCCTGAAGTCCCCCACTACCCCAGGTTGGGAGAGCCCAGGGTGCTTCCTGAGGCAGCTCGGTGATCACTGATGGGCGGGGTGTGGCCAAGGCATGAGGCTCCCACCACCCCAGCTGATAGAGCCTGGGACACTTCCTGTGGTGGCTCAGTGGTCATTGCTGGGTTGGCTGTGTGTGTTGGGGGGTTGTGGTTGAGGCCCTCATCCCCCACCCTCAGGATTGGCTGTGGATGTTGGGGGGCATTGCTGAGGCCCCTGGCCCTCTGCCTTTCTCGTTTGGTATCCCAGGGGACTTCCAGTCCATCTATGTGTTATAGGTGTTCTTTGGTGAAATGCAGCCTTTATTAGTTAATATGAAACTGTCTCTGGTTGTGGGTACTTTGTTATTTCTTTCAGTTCTGTGTTGGATTATTTGCTATTCCCACCATTTAAACTCTGTGTTGGAACTAATTTGTTGTTCTCTGCTCACTTCTAAAAAGGGGGAACTTCCTGGGGGGACCAGTACTTGATCTCTGTGGTTGAGCTAGATGGCTGCCTTGCCTCTGATTCCCTAGGGAAGACTTTTTGTGTAGCTCAGATTTAAATGGTTGACTTTATAGGTACTTTTGGCTCTCAAGAAATCCAAAACTCTGGTCTGGGCCTGAGTTTTTTCATCAAACTGCACCCCATGCCATTCTATATTCCTGACCAGTCTCCTCTGAATGGTCCTTCACTAATGGGGGTGCAGATCAGCTGTCCTTGCTGTGCCCCAGTGTTCTCCTGGTGGGCCCATCTCCTCCACCACCCATGCTGCAAACACATTGCATGGGACTGGTCATGTGCCTTCATGGACTCCATAGTTCTCTCCTCCTC